CACTGGATAGTAAGTACCTGTTGTTAATATTGTTCTAATTATTCTTGTTAGGCTGATGATCAGATCATAACAACCATAGTAGAGTTTTATCAGGCACTGGTATTAAAAAGTATCCATATTGTGACATTTGTTGTTATAATAACATTTTTAAATAACTTCAGACTTCTCCTGGTTCACAAATCTTCCTCTGCCTACATGTTCCAGCCATCATAACTTTGCAGAGAAGAGTGAGTAGGAGAATGGTTTCCAGGGCAGGTTTTGGAACTAGATTGACGGGGGCCAACCCTGACTTGGATACTTACTAGCTGTGTAACCTGTGCCTCATCTTTCTCATCTGAAAAATGGGAATAAAAATCTCACCTATCTCATTCAAGTTTGTTATCATGAAATCTTAGAACAATGCCAAGTATGTAACAAGCACTCAATGAATATTATCTATGATAGTAAAGAGGATTCTTCCATCAAAATGTGTCCAACTAATATTTATCTGAAACCTTGTTGGTTAGAAAGTGAGATGTCTTGTAAATTGTTGTCAAACTCATTTTCACTAAGGCAGAAGTGACTGATAATAGGCAGATGATTACCTCCCCCAGAAGTAACTGCATTAGTACTTAATCTTTGGCTGGAGGAAAAACAAAGCATTAATTGTGAAATTTCAGACATCTTCAAAAGCAAATTTGGCAAGCCCCTGGGTAAGATGTGTACACAGGAGTTTCTCCTACATTCCTAACATGATGAGTGACATAATGAACAACCACTCAACCTACTGAGGAGCCTTCTAGATAACACAGTAGTTAGCACCTAGCACCGTAGAATGGGGGGGGGGCTCAAAATAAAAGGTTCCCTTTGAAAAAGCGAGGAAGTACGAGTTGTAGACTTTGTACTCACGCTGGGCTGTTTGCACGGTGAATGAACTTTGCAACACTAGCCCTTTTCCTTTATTGTTTATTTGTCCCTGCATCCCCCACAGCCAGCGATCATTTCTGGGCAATTGTTTGAAATCCTGCCACTCCCTCCACTGGAGATCTGCTTACTGGTGTATCATGTTGTGTCTGATCCCATGAATCTGAGAAAGGTAAATACATATATAGGTAGGAAAAGTAAAATTTTTCTTAAAAATGAGACACAAGTCTAGCAAATACTGTCCTTCATGGGAAAAGACGCATCTTCTATTCATTTTATCATTCCCTCTTTGTTAAAATGAAATATCCTCTCTTCATGTCTGACACTCACCCTCACCTATATCCTCCCTCCCGTTCTCATTTTTTTGTTTTTTTTTTAATGCTTTTTATGTTTTGTTTTTATTTTTTTCACCCTCAGTAGAGTGCTGTGACATCACAGCTCACAGCAACCTCAAACTCTTGGGTTTAAGTGATTCTCTTGCCTCAGTTTCCCTAGTAGCTGGCACTACAGGTGCAAAGCCCGGCTATTTTTAGAGTTGGGGTCTCACTCTGACTCAGGCTGGTCTCCAAACTGTGAACTCAGGCAATCCACCCACCTTGGCCTCCCAGAGTGCTGGGATTACAGGTGTGAGCCACCGCACCTGGCCCACCATTCTCTTATTTTAAAGGTGTGAGTTGCATCATGAGTGTTATACCACAAAATTAGCTCTGTAATATTTAGCCATCTGCTGGTAAGCCAGCTCTCTGAATAAAATGTGTTTTCTAGCAGAGATGTTTCTTACATCTGAGTGTTGCCAAATTCTCTACATGAAAACAGTCTCTAGATTTTTCTAGAACATTCTAAGGCTTGACATAATATACGTGATTGTGTTTTTCACTTTTCATCTGAATACTTTGGCCTGGTACAGACACTTCCTTGAGTAGATAGATGATAAACACATTTAATAAACTCTAATGGCTAATACAATAATTCTCATAAGATCCAAAGAGACTTGCAATCCTCTGCAATGGAATTGAGCTCTTTACAAAACATCAATTTAACCATTGCTTAAATTGTAGCTTCTGAAGGAATGCTCTGAACCTTTGAAGACACTGAAGCCTTCGCTAACTTCATTAAATGGAAAGGAAAAGAGTTTTCACAAAAATAAATAACAAAGGAAGATTTACTGAACAAGAACACTGATAGGGAGCCAAAAAGTCACTTTATGTAACTCCACTTTCCCAAGGCTTGGACGTACCATTTTATATTAAAAAAAAAAAAAATACCGAGAGCCTTTTGGCAAATAGTTAGCACACGACAAGAGCAAACAAATGACAAAGCTGACTGTTGACTGGGCAGACGTGAACAGAGCAAATATAAAATGAAGGGCTACCATTGTGTAAAGAATTTATTCTAGAAGGAGCTGAACAAGGACTTTTTGTGCTATCACACAATAGCCATCCCTGCCCATTTCCTCCTCTTTTCAGTTTAGATTTTTAACTTTTTATTTCGATGACAAAGTCAAGATAGTATTCACCAAAAATGCATTTCATAAATGCTGCCTCCAAATAGCTGGTTACAGTTTGTATATTATGCAGGTTACAAAATCAAAGGTGCAATATACCTGTTTTATTCTAGACCAGTGGTTCTCAAACTTCCTAATGCCACAACCCTTTAATACAGGTCCTGTGGGTTGTGACTCACAGGTTGAGAACCACTGTTCTAGACTAAAGGGAAAATAATTCGAAGTGAGAAGAATAAAAGCATTGTTAAAATTACTGCCCATCTATTTCATAAGTAGTCCTCACGCAGTGTAATTACAGAATATACCCAATGCGCAAATCTCTATTGTTCACTCCTTGTTTTTGGTTTTGGGGGGGTTTTGGTGTTTTTACCATGTTCTCTTGCCTCCTGAACACTATTTTAAGAAACCCATAATTCACCTTTTAGTACTAAACGTAATTAAAATCATTCATTTAATTATTTGATTAAAGATTCATTTAATTATCTTACTTTCAACTAACAGGTGAATGTGAAATTCTGAGTAACTTACTTTGGTTAATCACATGGACATTAATTTGTGTGACTTGAACAACCTTTCACTATCTATATTAAAATATCGTGTTACAGACAAACATATACTATATATATGTATATTTTAAAAACCTGTGTGTTAAAGCTAGGTGTGAAACACTGACCATTTACAAATAAGTTGGATATCATTAGAAAATCAGCTACACTGCGATATCTAGCACAAGAGTTAGGGCATCTTAGGTAATCTTAGATATTTCTGTTGTTTGGCTCTCATTCCAGATAAACAGGGTGTTCTAGTTGTGGCCTCTGCACTGCATGACCCTAGCAGAAATCTAGAAATCAAGCCCATCACAAGTAGGGTGCCAGCATGTACCCTGCTGTTAAGTAGGCCGAGCCCCTCAGGAGCTCAGCCTGCATCTTCTCTACATGGGCACCCCAGCTTCTAGTACGGAGCCTGGAACAGAGTGGATGACGAGCGTGATGAGATGTCAATCATTGCTGACCCGAGAGATTGAGGACTGATAGAAAGTAGGGACTAGGCATTATCTTCTCCTTGCTCTAAGGTTTCTTGATTTTGCTGGTGATTGTGAGCAGTAACCTTATCTCATGACCAGGTTTTATCACCTTCAGAATAGATTTACCACTGCAATGGCCTGGATACTTGTGTCCTTCCAAAATTCATGTGTTGAAATCCTAACTCCCAATGTGATAGTATTAAGAGATGGAGACTTTGAGAGGCATTTAGGTCAGGAGGTGGAGCCCTCATGTGGGATTAGTGCCCTTATAAAAGGGACCTCAGAAAGTTCCCTTGCCCTCTTTCCACCATGTGAGGACACAAGAAGACAGTAATCTGCAACCTAGCTGTGGAAAGGCACCAAACCCCAACCATGCCAGCTCCCTGATTTCAGACTTCCAACCTCCAGAACTATGAGAAATCAAAGTCTGTTGTTTACATGTCACCCACTC